GGTGTTCTTACCTCTTCAAAGGTTGAAAATGGCTAAAGTTTTCTTTGGAAAAATTATACATACGAAATCTCTTAATGAATTTGAGGTTTTTCCGAGCGGATTTGTTGCAGTGGACCAGCAAGGCCAAGTAAGTACAAATGCAATTATCGCTTATTTATTTATTACTATGCATACTAGTATGCGCCATGATTGTTTAGTTTTGTCTACAACAGGCATGCCCAGCGCAAGGCACTTGCCTATAGAATTCTGCCAGCGCAGGGCACTTGCTTATGGAGTTCTGCCGTCGTTGGGCATTCCTGGGCTACAACATATCGATACCTCGGCAGCCAGTTCGAAAACGCCCTATCTCAGAAAACTTTTCAAGAACGCCCTACTTCAGAATTTGATTGAAGAACGCCCTATTTGAGTATTCGGTTAAAAAACGTCCTATCTCAAATAAAAATATAATAGGGCAGTTCATGAAAACGTGTAAATGCCCCGTAACCATGTAAACCCCGAAAGCTTACTTTATTTTGTATGGAAATTCGGTTTATTTATGAGGCTTACGCGGTTACAAGGCATTTACGAGTTTCCATGAATACCCATACTAACAAGTAACTTTTAAGCAAAAACAAAACCGACTTCAATTCTCATAAAAATTTAGGATTATCGTTAATTTCTTAACGATCCAGTTATCGGATCTAAACAAAATTAGTATGGGACCACTCTTGAGATCACCTTTCCGATGAAAAAAGAATTATCGGTCTAAAGTTATGCGGTAACATATACAAGTACATATATATACATAGATACATAAAAAATAAAATATTCCGACGAACTGATAACCTCCTCCTTTTTTGAAGTCGGTTAAAAATTTGGGAGTGTCTATTTACACGCGCCACGGTAACTTTTACCGTGGATCCACGGTAAAAAATACCGTGGATCTACGGTAAAATTACCGTGGATCTACGGTAAAAATTACCGTGGATCTACGGTAAAATTACCGTGGATCTACGGTAAAAATTACCGTGGATCCACGGTAAAAATTGCCGTGTATCCAAGGTAAAAAAATTACCGTAGAACCACGTAGAAATTTACTGTGGATCCACGGCAATTTCTGAAGATTTTTGCTTGACGAAGAAGATGTTTGATTTCCGAAGTGCGCGAAGAACCACCTTTTTAATGTAGATGTGCGGTAAATGATATTTTTTTTTTAAACGACTTCAAAGAAAACTAAGAGGTTATCTATTCGACATGTACATATGTCGTATGTGTGTATGTATGTATATTTGTTAATTGTATATGTATGACATAAACAAGAACACTAATCAGAGAAGAGACGGAGATTACGAGCTTGCCCATTCAGATAACATACTCAGAAAGGTAACAAAAACTTCCTCTGAAGATTCAAAATCTCTAAATTTAGATTTTTGGCGTTCCTTCCTAGCGTTTTAAAGAAATTCTCGATGCGAAATTAACATATGATAACATTATAACAAGGCACAGACCTCTGTCTACTTTAACTGAGCCAACCCAGAACCCAGAGATACCGATCGATTTAACTCGCCAATTCCCGAATAGCAGCACTGATTCAGCTCATAACCGTTTGCCGGAAAAAGTCGTCCTGGAAGAAGAAAATCCCAAAACCCCACCTTCCGCTGCTGACCACAAAGAAACGCCTTTGGTGATGCCATCTTTACAGCTTCAAACTTGTAGCAAGATTAACGAGGCGACAATTGATACTCTTTTTGGAATAAAAGATGTTTGTAATGTCGGAAAGCCTAGAGGAGCCCCCAAAGGCCGAAGGACCACAGTGGCTGGGATACCGCTCCCAAAGGAAGAAGGGAACAAACGATTGCTACAACAGCATCAACGCGCTGGAGGCAGAGAGGTGGCTAGAGGTCAACGAGCGTCCAGGGGTAGAAGTCGTGGGGCAACTCAAAGTTGGGGCCCAAAAAAATTGGACGACGACAAAGTTGGTGGAGTAGCCTTTGATACAAAAAATAATGACACCAAACTTGAGATGATGCTGAAATGGCTACTGATGTCAAATTATGTGAAAGGACGAGATTTCACGTCTTCAAAAATCAAAAGCAGCGAAATCGACACTGCCAATTTGAACGATTCTTTCATTGATACCCGAGGCGATCATCTAAAACTTTTAATGCCGTGCATGGCGAAAGATACATTTGAAACATTTTTGGTTACTCTTGGAATGAAAAGAGCTAAAGATGATTACAAATGTGCTGTATGTGGAGGAAAACATCATCAGTCGTGTAAAAATGTTATACGTTGTGACGGATGTTACCTATGGCATCATTGGGTGTGTGTGGAGATAAAGAGGAAGCCGGTTGGCGATTGGTTCTGTGCCTTGTGCTCTATGGAAAAATAGGAAAATACAGCAACAACGCGCAGTAGTTACTTATCGACAGTAAGATATCATGGTTTGTTTAATCATACACAAAATAATTTAATCATACGGAAAATAATCATTATTTGTTAAATTTTAACCAGAAAATCAAAAGTTGTAATCGTCGTAAAACAGTTTTATCTATACTGACGTATTTCTATTCGTACCTTCTACTGTAATTTACGATGATCTTTATTTTTCGAGTTTAACCAATAAAGATTAAAGATAATAATTAATATTCGAATGTCATTTTTTCGCTCAAAGGTTATTATTATTGCACGATTTTTATCAACTAATTAACGAATTGATTTTTGAATGAATGGCAGTAACTTAGGTATTTACATACATCTATCGTGATACATCTATATGAGAAATTAGGATTGTTCATTCACGTTGGAAAAATAGATAACCTCGGGTCCACACTAATTTTTGTCGTAGATCTACTGTTAAAAAATACAGTTATTCACACGCTTCGAAAATCACTGAATCCACGGTAATTTTTTTCCGCGGATTCGCGGTAAATACACCGTGGATCGACGGTAATTTTTACCGTAGATCCACGGCAATTTTTACCGTGGATCCACGGTAATTTTACCGTAGATCCACGGTAATTTTTACCGTGGATCTACGGTAAAATTTACCGTGGCGCGTGTGTGTAGACACTGCCTAAAAATTTCCTGAGATAGGGCGTTTATGAATCGGCAGCGGATATAGGGCGTGTATTAACCGAATTCTGAAATAGGGCGTTCTTCAAAAGTTTTGAAACAGGTTCAGCTGTCGATATGTATGTACATTTATTAAAACTCACCCGCTGAAGTTGTTTCGGCCGTTGATAATATCCTAGTAGCGTAAATCGTCACTAATGAGGATTTAGTGACATGTTCGCACTTGCTGTGAAGCCAAAACGACATATAGTTGACAATGACCTTGGTAACCATGTCATACAGATGTTTCCTATTAAAGACTTCTAACTCGACTTCTCGTTCCCACGACAGTCGTGTCTACGTACCGGAACGAGCCAGATTTATATCTGGCCAAGGGCTGTCACTCCAGCAACACTCCCCAAAAACTCTTTGTGGATTTGTATGCTGTTACAACAACAACAACAGAAAATGTCTAGTAGCTGTCACTTTTAGAAAAGTCCAGCGGGCTGTGAATAATTCTAAGGAACTCGTTGAACAAATCTAATGAGGAGTAGTGGTGATCTCCGAAAGAGCAGCTATAACTACTACCCTGTGTAAATCTGTGTTCGTATGGAATAGTAGCTTATGTCGGGAAGCTGGCTTTAGTATAATGCGGCATTCCTTTTATTCTTTAAACGATAAGGAATTTTTTGATGAGGTTTAATAATATTATTGCCTTGCTAGTATCGCAACTATTTCTTGCACATTTATTTGCAAAAGTTCTTCAACGGCTCGACACAAGTGAGTCATTCGAATCGTATGCTGCGAATGCCGCATTATACTAAAGCCTTTCGACATAAGCTACTATTAAATACGAACACAGAAATTATTGAAGTTTTTCCACAACATTTTTCATTAGAAACGGCCTCAAGCACAATAAAATTGTTGAATGAAACAGTTATATTTTTGAAAATTCTTAGATCGCTGGTATAGGAAACGAGAGCGACTACTGCGAGTGGCTTGCCAAAAACGCCGGTTTTAAGGGTACAAGTGAGGAAAATCTCACTTCAGATCAGTTTGTTATGCCTGGTTTTGTGGACTGCCATATTCATGCGCCTCAGGTAGCACAAATCGGACTTGGGTTAGATATGCCCTTATTGGACTGGCTGAATACATATACGTTCCCGTTGGAGGCGAAATATGATGATCAAGATTTTGCAGCGAATGTGTACACTAAAGTTGTGGTAAGTATACATACATATCTCTATCTATCTATCATTTTTGCTTCTTTACAGAGTAGTTAAAAATTTAATAAAATCTAAAGTTATTCAATTGTAATTTTCTTAAAAACATTGGTTTTTAATAAACACTGAAACTAATTTATTGATGTGATAGTTCGTTTTAGTTTATATTAGGTCCTTAGTGAGTATTCTACCGATTTCCTTATATATTAAGGTAACGATATGTATATAGTATATACTATACCTAGTTTATGGTTTCATATGCAATAAAACTAACTTTAGATAGAGAATTGATAAGAATCAACGCGTATAATAAAAGCTTTTGGGAAATTATTCAATGTTTTTTTTTTCATTCCCCACTTAGGAAAACACAATTAGAGCAGGTACCACTCTCGCGTCTTACTTTGGTAGCAATAACAAAGATAGTACTTTAATACTATCCAAGCAGGCAATGCGACAGGGCCAACGAGCATTAGTTGGCAAAGTTTGCTCGAATTGCAACAGCCCCGACTTTTATGTGTATGTATAATTAACAATCACAATCTAAACCAAAGAGTTCTGTATGCGATATATATATTTTTTTTTTCAGTGAAACCACGGAAACATCAGCAGCGAATACAGAGGAATTTGTCAATGAGATAAA